TCGAGAGGAGCACGGCGGAGGAGAGGGAGCGAACATGGAGGGACTTTGACGAATGGAAAGCTACGACCAACACCAAACACGACGCCGAGAAGATTGCCCTTGCTATCCAGTTCGACAAGAAGCTGAAGAAGGCCGAGGCCGCCGCCGACGAGTGGCGACAAGAAGCTTCCGAGGCATCTGAGCTTCGCGCACGGCTCGAAGAAGCTCTTCAGCGTGAGCGGGACAACCAAGAGTCTTGGGCGACTGAGCGAGAATTGCTCATCAGAGAGCGTGACTACTTCGAGAAGACGTGCGCAGAACAGCGCGAGCTCTTGGAAACGCACCACCTGCAAACTGAAGGCCACACCGATATCTTCAAAAAGGCCGTCGAGGAAGCAGCCAGAGCAGATGAGCTTGCGCGAGAAAAGGATGAACTGATGAAGCAATATGAACAGCTCAAGGCTGAGAGCCAGCAGGAGAAGGAGATTATCAAGAGCGTTGCCAGCAACCTCGAGTCCGAGAAGTCCAGGCTAGAGAAGATGATGGAATGCTACGGAGACATTGCAGAGATCAAGAGCAAAGGCGACACCTACTAGTAAGTCATTCCATTTTTCCTTTCTTTTCCATCACGGATGTTCGTCGCGTTGCTATGGGCTGCGCGTGCCAGGAGGGGGTGGCCACGGGGTCTCCAGCTGGATTGTACCCCGCAGTCACCCCCCCCTGCAGCTCCATGAAACATACCGAAGCCCCTCCTCAGCCAGTTCTATCGCCAGGGTCTAATATGCATTCACTGGATGTCACCATAACTTACACCATGGCGGCTGTGCATTTATTGATCTCGCGATATATTACTTCTTTCTTGGGACGGAGTTGATCGCTGACTTATCACCTACAGCCTAGCATCTTTCACCCATCTACAAAGGCAAATCATTGATCTGGCGAAAACTCACTTTGTCCACCTTCCAGTACGACCACCACCAGAGGATCTTGGACAAGTGCCTTCTAATCTACCATCATTCATCGGCGACACGATAGCTTCTAGGTAAGGAGAAAGATTGCAAAGGAAAGATTGCTTACTAACGAGATGGCCCCGTCACAGACAAGTTCGAGCGGCATATATAGCTCACACGGTAGCTAAACTCATCACTTACCGTGTCTTCGGACCCTTCCTGTTTAGTCTTGGTCGTCGTTATGACAAAGCCGATTCATTGTTTTCTTCAATGAGCCACCATATTCGCGAAAAGAGCACACGCAAAGAAGCAATCTGGCGTCAACAAACACTTCTTGCAGCTTTTACAAGCTCTGGCGCTAAACAGCGCATCAACACTGCTGCTGGAACAGTCGTAGAGGAAATCGTCAACGCCATCAAGCATTTTGCCGACCCAAGAGAAGAAGAAGGTATCAAGATTGCAGTGAAACGCATTGTGAAGCTCGCTGCGGAGACATGGAGATTTGCACGTCTTGAACGTGAAATGATCACGGCCGTCATGCCGGCTTTGCACGACGAAGACCACCAATTCACCGGTAACCAGTATTGGCCAGCTTACAAACCAGATGACACTGCAGGTTCTCCGATGGACACCTCCACTGATTCGCAACCGAAACTGCTTCTGAGAATTTTCCCTGTCGTCTTCCGAGAACCGAAGCACGAGAACTTCCAGATCAACGGAGAGCCGCGCGACGAAGGCTGCGTTCTCCACCATGGACTGGCTCTGTACGACAATTCCGAGCCCGTAGTGGCCAGGCTTGAAGAGCTGAAATCTGCTGGTTTGCCATCCCATACCACTGTATTAACGAGTCCGACTGACGAGGGCAAGTTTCCGGCGCCGGTACGTAACACAACCCGCATGTGTTTACCTGACCCCAACGCTCACCTTGGCATCTCCGAATTTCACCTGATCATTGCAATGCCCACGAATCATTCCAGACTTTCCCCGAGACGACGATTGCATAGAAACGCTTGGCTAACATCTTGCTATCGCAGGCATGCCCCCCTCCCCGAGACGAGCAAACAAACCCCCCCGCTCCTCGTTCCCCGTCCAAAACCGAGTTGAACACGGCTGAGAAATCTACCCCGCGGTTACGTCCAACTTCACCAACCGAAAAGAATGAGAAACCCGAGAAACCCGAAAAGTCCTCGACCATCAAGCGGGCACTAAGTCTTTTCTCTGGCCCTTCGCTAGGCGACAAGGGCGTGAAGCCACCTCTCTCCACATACTCACACATGCCGCCCCCACCTCCGCCGACGTCCATTTTTACGTCCCCGAGGAACATTATTGGCATGCCAGTCGAAAGTCTGGCTCCTTCACATACACCAAGTTCAAAGAGGAAGCCTCCACCTCCGCCACCCAAGCCTGTATCCAAGCCAGAGGTGCCGTTACCTTTTACGGAAACTCCGCACCATCGCACATTGTCTGAAAGTGCTGGCTTGCCCCCAATTTTCTCTCGAACTCCACTTGACGAGACTGTCCCATATCACGATGTGGAGCCTGACACCTGTCCTCCTACACCTGTAGATACAGTATCTCCAGTCTACGATGCCATAGACGAAATCGAGAGTCTGTTGCCTCAACGAACACGCACTTCCTCGACCACACACTCGCGCCGTCGTTCTACACACACTCGCCGATCAGGCGAATCGGCCATTGACGACGAGCTAGAGGACTTTGCTACTCCTCGACCTGAATCTATCCGCCGAAGGAGCACCTACGCTTCTAGTGTTCGCACACACAAGTCTGCTGATACAGAGCGCACGGACAGGAGTGAGCGTACAGACAAGAGTGAGCGAACGGATAAAAGCGAGCGTACAGAGAAGAGTGAGCGTACCCACAAGAGTGAGCGCACTAGCCGGACAGAGAAGAGCGATCGCTCGGATAAAACCGAGCGTGAGAAGGCTCGCTACTTGTACGAGAGTCGAAGTGCAGGCGTCAAAGCTCTGTACCCCAGTCCTCCGACTGGGCAAAGTGCAAATGGAAGCACCAAGAACTTTACTCGAAGTGAAAAGAGCGAGCGGAGGAAGGAACGCGGCAGTAGGGACTCGACCAAGGAATCGAATTCCCTTAGGGATTCGAAAGAAGCAAAGAGGGAGTCTCGTGAGATCAGGAAGATGAGGAGCATTTCCGATGCTGGCACTTGGGATACGAACAGTGTCGTCACGCATAATGATTTCGCACCTACGACAGTTTCCACCAATGTTCCCTACCCACACTCCTATGATACAAGGCGGGACTCGAAAGAGGTGAAGAGGGAATCGAAGGAGTTAAGGAGGCAAAGAAGCGTCTCTGACGCTGGAACGTGGGATACCGCCAGCGAGGTTACTCGATTTGCGCCTCCTACGACCGTATCCACAAATGTTCCTTACCCAACTGGGGTGTCCTGGAATCTGCGACGGGCAAAAAGCATCCCTGATGACGCTACCTGGGATACTAGCAGTGAAGTCACTCAACGGGCCCCTGAAACTACTGTCTCGACCAACATTCCATATCCTACGGAATTTGGCCGCGAGACCAGGAGAATGAGTGTCTCTGATGCCGGTACGTGGGACACTGAAAGTGTGTTCACGCAACGCCCTCCGCCGACAACGGTCTCGACCAATATTCCGTATCCGACCAACGTCTCCATGAATGATGTTTCTTACGTGCCTCCCTCACCACGGGAGATAAGACGACTCAGTGTTTCGGATGCTGGCACTTGGGATACCAACACTGAGATCACAACACATCGTTCCCGCCCCCCACCTACGACTGTGTCGACGAACGTTCCATACCCGACCAACTTCTCCACTGACGAGGATTCTTCCGTGCCAACATCACCACAGTTGTCAAGAAGACTTAGCGTCTCCGATGCTGGCACTTGGGACACCAACACGGAGATCACAACTCATCGCGCCGCGCCAACAACTGTGTCAACTAATGTGCCCTACCCAGGAGGGATGCCTTATGAGCGAAGAAGGTTAAGTGTCTCTGACGCTGGCACATGGGATACCGATAGTGTTGTGACACATCACCGCGCCCCACCTACAACCGTGTCAACCAATGTCCCTTACCCTAGGGGATTTGGAGGACCTGCGTCTTCAGTCCACTTGCCCGGACCCTTTGAAAGACTGAAGAGAGAGCAAGAGCAGCACAATTTTTCTGATGAAGGCTCCGACTCTGGCACTTGGGATACGAGCAGTGAGATCACCCATGCAAACAACGGGCCTTCTACAGTTGTCTCAACCAATGCGCCCTATAAGCCTGCGAAGCCAGCACGACTAGGAAGGCCAAGGGTCTTGAGAAGCAAGACCAGCGTATCTGACGCTGGGACTTGGGATACCAACAGCGTGGTTACGAATAATGACATGAAAACGACCGTTTCAACGAACGTCGCATACGCAGCTGAACGACGATCTCGCTAGAACCACCTAGCCAAGGGACATGAATTCATTTTCAGCAGTTTCGTTTTCTCCGGGTGTCACGCCGCGAGAACATTTCCTTGTTGTTTTTTCCTTGCTTGTTATTTGATTTTGACGTTTGTTTGTTTTTTGCGTACGCTGCATGCTTTGTTGGATCATTGCATTGGGCACATGCCGAGGAGTAAGTGGAGATGAAATATATGAAAGATGAATATGCACATGAAATACGAATATAACGGTTGAGCAAACACGAGTTGAAGACAGAAATGCATTAATTTGTAGCACGGCGTTTTGGGTATCTAGCATGCGTTCTTTGATCCGCAACTTAGATCAGTTTGAGTAATAGTCAAACATACAAGATTATTTTGCGGACATGGTTTTCTAGGATTTCTACACGTGATAAGAGCAATTGGAGACGTGACGTTGAATGTGGAGTGAAGAAAGAAGCTCTTGAGGCAAACGCCGAGGCCAGCCCGCAATCCCCGAACGTCACAGCAGAGCTCAGAGCTACCCTCCAGAAACAATCCACACTACATCACAGCCCTAACAACCACGCTGACCACCTTACCAAAATCGCGCCATCACGCGTCAATTAATTGAAGAAATTACCACAGAGAAACCCGCCAAAATGACGGAACCATCCCCAAACCCTGCGCCAGAACACGACATGGACGCTCCGCTCCTAAACGGCGAAGCCCAAATGCAACAACAACTCGCAGACGTAGAAATGGCAGATTCTACAAACGACCAGCCTGTACTGTTACCCCGCCCCATCCTTTCTCACAAACTCCCAAAAGAAGAAACCACTTGCTAACCCTACAAAACCAATAGCCACAAGCAGAACCCTCACCCCCATCCCAAGCACCTCCTTCGCAACAACCAACAACAACAACACAAACGCAGCCCCCAACGCCCTCGCAAGCAACAACTCCTGCTCCCTCAGTGCCCGCCCCTAGCGCCCCAGCAGCACACCCAGCCACAGCCCCCGCATCATCGCGCAACTCGCCGCATCCCACAGCGCAGGCGCCGACGCAGCCGATTCCGCACGGGAGCCCGACGCGGGTGTATTTGAATCAGCATGTGACGCCGTACTTGCTCGAGGCGATGAAGCATCTTGCGACGCAAGAGCCGGAGAAGCCGTTGAAGTGGTTGAGTGAGTTTTTGGCGCAGAAGAGTGCAGAGGTTGAGGGGGCTTGAAGAAAGAGAGAGAGAGAGAGTGTGTGTGTGTGAGTTAGGGAAACGGAATAGAGGCTTATGGTGTGTGCATGGTGAGGAAGTAGGAAGGGAATGACAGATGAATGTAGTAGAGGAAATGGGGGGAGGGCAGGCACGGTAGTAGTAGGGACACCATGGTGTACAGAGGATACCAAGCAGGCATAGCTGGCGTTCATTCAAGTGCTCAAGGCAGGCAGGCAGGCGGCATATACAAAAAAAGATACCCAGGTCAAACAAGCATCAAGTTCATCACACACGACACACACACACACATTCTGGCACCTCGATTGCCATTGGGTATAATTTCATCTTGAGATGATGATGCTTTTTGATTCATTCCGTATCGTGATGCTGCTAGGTATCCGTAAAGCAAGCATCCATGCCCATAAACTCCACGTAAATGTCTTCCATCACGATTACCAGCCACACCAATCCTACATCTGCTTATGCGACGAGGGTAGAGGCGGTGGCGCTCTCGTACCTCCAGGTAGGGGGGAGGGCACCGACGGTCTTGTAGTAACGGGAGAGCTGGGAAATGTTAGCTCGAGTCCTTCTTGTTAAAGAAACTATATTTTCGGCTCAACTTACACGGTGAATACGGGACTCGATGAGAATGAGGCGGAACTTGCTGTCCCTGTCCTTGCGGTTGGTCTGGAGGTGCTTGCGGACGGCGACAGCCTTCTTGATAAGCATGTAGAGGTCCTCTGGGATATCTGGGCTCAGGCCTTTATGCGCAAAATGTTAGCCTAGACCAACAAATGCAGATTTGTATAGCGCGCAGATGCTCTCACGCGGGAGCAGAGCTGTGTCGACATGCGCTTTTTCATGTGTATAGGGCAATCGTACCGCTCGACTTGAGGATGCGGAGGATCTTGTTGCCGGTAACAACCTTGACCTGGGCGACACCGTGAGAGTCACGGAGGATCTCACCGATCCTGCAAAATTCCAGTCAGTATATGCAATTCCTCCCAAAATCTCCTTGTCGGATTGGATTCGGCTTACTGAGAAGGAGTAGCACCCTTCCTGGCGAGCTTGCAGATCTGGTCGACAACCTGCTCCGGGGTGGTCTTCAACCACGCAGGGGGGTTGCGGGAGTAGGGGATGGCGGAGGCTGATATGCCCTTTCCGTTGCTGTGAAGACGACCCATTTTGAATGAATGTACCGGGCGGCAAGCTGGTGGATTAGTACGGAGACGTGTGGAAGGCTTGAAGTCGTGTTGGAAGTTCGCGATCCAAGGACCAATTTCTCGCGGCTCGGCTAGGTGTGTGGTGGACCGTGCGCGATTTTAGCGTCAAAGCTCCTGCTGCCAGACAAAAAGTCTGTCGACCTCAACTTTTCACACTTCGCAACTTTGGAACAGCCACCATGCAGAGAGGACCGTCTTTGTGCTTTATTGCAGCCGGAGGAGTTTTATGCTGATGGCGCTGTTGATGCTGCTCGGCTCTGCTAAAGCGTTTTGCTGAAGCGCACTGCTAACCCACAGCTCGAAACAGGTCATATTCTCAACGGTATGTTCATTCCTTCATCTCCTTTCTGTTGCAGCACAGTGATGATCCACCAAAATTATTTTCTGATACCTCTTATTTTAGGCGAGGCCTTCGGGTCTTGCCGGTGCATTCAACTTATATTCTGAAATGTGCTACACCCATCTACTTCTTCAACATCAGACCTCGAAAAGAAACATGGACTGACTAGAAGCAGATTTTGAGATCAGTGGTCAAACAAGTTCTTGCCAGGTAGACAGTCTTATACTGGTATATGCTACGGTGCTTAGAGTGCCTCTCTATGTGCTACTCTATGACGAGAGTTTGCCATCTGCACTTTTGGGTGGGGAATTGTCCACGTCTCATATTCGAGTTCGACACGGTTGTGTAGCTAGGATGCCCAATACAATTCATTCCGCAAGATTTCTTGGTAGCATTGATTGAGTGATGGCAGTGTGCTTGGATTGACATGGATTCTTCAATACTAACTGCGGCCTCATTGTTCCTTTTGCATACAGCGAGACTTACAGGAAAAGTAAGCCATGTTTCGCACGAAATCTTGGTACTATATCAAAGCCTTTTTATACAGAAGGGTGTACACTTCTATAGCTATTATGAAAGGCAGAGGCCTACAGCGAAGCATGTGATATCGATAGTGTCACGTGAGCACCTCCGAACACCTCGGACGAACCATGCATGGTTCGTATATAATTAGCCGCAGACTGGTGTGCAAATAAAGTTTCATCCATACACAAAACTCTATTCCCCACGTGTACAGTTTCAGCCGCGGCGTTGTCCACCGACTTCGGTTCATATACAGCGCAACAGCGTGCTGCCCAAGCATACGTTACATACAACCAGCGGTCCCCAGTACGAGAGGTAAGACTACGGTTTATCAGCTCTTAAGTCAGAAACTGATAAAATCTCTCAACTTTCGTAGCCATGAATGTCTTACCAAAGGACGATTTGCCCAATTCGAAGAGTCCTGATCTTGTCCTACGACATCCGACTGAGGATGAATGTATCGCAATCTGGAACAACACGTCCGCTGAATGGATCGACTCCCTTACCCCTCCCCTATACTTGAAAGAATGTCGTTTCCTTACCACAATCCCTCTGGCTAGAGATGGGGGTATGACTACTTGGGTTCTCGTCCACAAAGATTCGGCCCCAAACAAACGACATATCTTGTGTTCGTGTGAAACTTTCCGGAAGCACTCTTTGACCAGTAACTCACAGGGAGAAGTCAGCGATAACATCATACATGGAATCGCTAGCGTCTTCTGCGCACCACCGTACCGCCGTCGTGGTTACGCCGGTCGTATGATGCAAGAGTTGGCTAAGGAACTGTACAGCTGGCAAACTGATAAGTTTTCATGCATAGGAACTACACTCTATTCCGATATTGGGAAAGAGTATTATGCAAATCTGGGATGGACTCCGAATATCACAAACTCACAAGTCGAACTACTGCCGAAGCCCATTGCATGGTCACCCCTGGTCAAAGCGATCGTGGAGAACGACCTTGACGATATCTGCAAGAGAGACGAAGCTCTAGTACGCTTTCGGATGTCGGTACCTGCAGATGAGATCAAGAAAACACGTTTCACAATCATACCGAACGTGGATTACATGGGTTGGCACATCGGAAAGGAGCAATTTGCGACCGACTTTCTCTTCGGGAAAACTCCAACTGCGAAGGGCGTCATCGCAGGATCTCCAGGCAAGCAAGTGTGGGCGACATGGGTGCACCGATATTATGGTCCACCTAATACCGAGAAGTCACACAACGTTCTGTACATACTTCGATTAGTCGTGGAGACCGATGAAACCGCAACAAGACTTCCCGGGGATGCTCTCAAAAGACCAGAAAAAGATATCTACGAAGAGCAGATTGAGCTTTTGAAAGCTGTATTGCAAGCCGCACAGGCTGAAGCTGCTGAATGGAAGCTCGATGCAGTGCAGCTATGGGACCCAACGCCACTAGTATTAGGTATGCTGAAGGACAGTGGACTGGGATACACTGTCATAGAGCGGGAGAAGGACCATATTGCCAGTTTGCTGTGGTATGACCAACAGGGCGGAATTAGCAAAGAGCAACCGTTATGGGTGAACAATGAGCACTATGCGTGGCAGTAGAACACGCAGCATTGACCTGAAGGAATTCACGTTGAGTTTCGTACAATAGGGTGATTAAGCTAAACGGGCTTCGCGCATTGCATTGATGTGCCATATCTTTGGGGGTTGTCGTGTGAAAGATGGATCACTCATGTTGCGTTGTAGACGAATCAAGAACCAAGGGCATGGTAGTAATGAACATGCAAGGAAAAGACATCAGTAGCGCCTCGGAAGTCTTTCTCGCGCTGCTGTCGAGATTAGCATTGTCTTCTACGTATATGAAAGGTAGTCATAGCGGTAACTATATTTAGCGATGCCAGTACGTATTCCCGTGCCAAGCGTCTTCGACTGCTGGGCGGATTAGGCATCTTCAGCCTTCTGCGTGTATCATCAACACTCTCCACCTAATATATTGGAAGACACACTCCCCATTCAATCGAATTTTCAAAGCCAGGTAGTACGATGTTAACCCAGTCGACTTTGCTCAACGATAGATTCTTATCAGAGAGTGCCCTGACCTCCGCCGAATCACAGCCTGATGACTTGGACATGATAAGGTTTCTGGCCATCTTGGAAACACTCAGCATCGAAGTACTACCCATAACGTGGCAAGCTGCACGACAACCGATTGGTTGGGGTGCAACGAGCCAGGTTACTGAGGCTCAGGCTACTGTCCGAACTAGCTTTGCGTTCAAACGTGCCTCCGAAGAGCAGAAACAGGGCGGCCTATCGAGAGTTCTGAAAGCGATGTTAAACGAAATCATTGTTCTGTCTCACCCGTCCATTCGGATGCACCAGGGTGTTGTTGAACTCCAAGGCATATGCTGGGATGTTCAATCTGTGCATGATGTCTGGCCGGTCATAGTATTCAAAAAGTCCCATTTTGGAAATCTCTATGATTTCGCTCCTATGCCAGTCGGGAGAGCACTCTCGATGACTCAGCGTCTGAATCTTTGTGTTGAAATAGGCTCTGCCGTTATGAGTATGCATGCGAACAGTAAGCAACGAAAGCAACATTCTTTCACTCAACTTACTGAAATTTTTGCAGATATCATACACGGAGATTTAAAACCTGAAAACATTCTTATATTTCAGGGTGAGAAAGATGTCTACTGTGCAAAGGTCTCGGATTTTGGTTATTCCACCAGGTTCTTGAAACCTGATGAGGTCTGCTCAATGCCCAGATCACGACCCTGGAACGCACCTGAGCATCACTTCAATATGTTCACCATCACCGATGCGCGAAAGATGGATATATTTTCGCTCGCTCTGGTCTGCTGCTGGATCCTTTTTGAGAAGTATCTTGCTCGAGAGGCCCCACTACCACCAAGCCTAAAATGGGCCGAAGATTTGCTTACTTCAAAGAAAAGTATAGACTGCAGTAAGGAGTCTATAAGCGAGTTGAAACGACTCAAAATGATCCTACCTTTTGCTGAACAGCTCTTGGTTACGAATGGTGATCTGGAGGCCGGGCCTAAAGAAGCAATGCTCAAATTTCTCCGGGCCAGTCTAATATACGAACCAGAGTTGCGAAGCCACAGCCTTCATACACCTTTCCATCATTTAGTCCCTAGGTAAGACACCTCAGAAAATAACCGCGTCATCATGCTGAGCAAGATACAGCGCGCTTTCCTCTCCCACGAAGATAAACGACCCTACATTCATCTCTTCCGCAAGCCTTGACGTAAGCCTCAGTATTACCGCATAACTTCCAGCACTAACCAACAGTATAGATAACGCAACTTCTAGGAGACCTGTATGCCTCTGATTATCGTGTGCGGAAGTACCTCCGACGTACTCTGGAGGATCTGGTCAATGATCAGGCTCGTGACAAGATAGATTCAGAGCAGCAAAACCTCGCCTTCCAACTTGCCATTTGCGCCAAGATTGGATTTGGAGCTCCCAAAAACGACGCTCAGGCACTTCGGCTTCTTTCCCAATGTCAAAAAACGATAGAAGATCTTGAAGGAGCTCTGAAGAAACTCAACTTTGTAGACGGTCCTCGAACAGCTAACAACCTGACAACCTGGCACACATTACGCAACTTCCGCCATGTCAAGCTAATCAATCTAGCAGAGCAATACACACAAGTAGATGAGATTCATACGGCAGTGGAGGAGTTTAGCAAAGAACTATCTGATATCGAAAACACTTTAGGGAGAAACAATGGTTTGTGGGTTTTCCACGCGCAGACGATGGTTTCGTTTCACGATAAGCTAGGCCATTGGAATAGCAAGAGACAGATCTTGGAACAATTGATCGAGATGGATGAGACAGATGAGACGAATGAGGTAGATGCTCCTCTTGTCATAAACCTTGCGCAAACGTATAGGGAGCTAGGCCGTTATGGGGCAGCGGAAATGCTACAAGATCAGGCCATAGCGCAACTGTTAGAGCTAGAGGAGGAAAACAACTTGGACCTGTACGGCTGCATGGCTGATTTGGCGATGACTTACAAGCAACAAGGCCGATTCGAGGAGGCTGAAGACTTACTGTCTGCAGCCATACCTGGATTTAAGAGGCTACTGGGATCGGAAAACCCGAGTACTCTGTCGAAAGTGTCCAACTTGGGGACGATTTATGAAGCTCAATATCGATGGGCAGAAGCAGCGGCTCTTTACATCGAGGTCAAGGATACCTGCCATTCTATCCTTGGAGAACGCCATCCTTTTTCGCTCACGAGTACTAATAACCTCGCCAACGTGTACAGTGCGCAGGGCCGTTGGAAGGAAGCTGAAATTATGCTTGACAAAATTCTCAGCATTGCAGCAGACGCTCTGGGGCCACAGAATCATATCACACTCAGAGCTCAACGTGCCCTCGCCAATTTGTATGCAAGACAGGGTCAGTTTAAGCGTGCTGTAGAGGTGTTCGATCACACGCTAAGTGGCTCGGAAGAGGAGTTTGGTGATGACCATCCGGAGACCATTGAGGCTCGCAGATACCTGGGAGATATGTATCACCTGTTGGGCTTATATGAAGAGGCAGAGGCACTACACTCCAATGCCTTGATAAAGCTCGAGTCACTAAGAGGGATACGTCATCCTTCTACAATAAGTGCAGCCAACTCTTTGGCTTTGACCTATAAAGAACAAGGCAGACTGAGAGATGCCGAGCAGATTCAGCAAAAGACCATTCAGCGGTGCGATAGTGCTTTTGGCCCTCTGCACCACATGACTCTACATGTCCAGCTCGACCTCGCAGCGATTTTCATGGACCAGGAACGTTTTGAAGAGGCTGGGGACTTGATTGAACAAATCCTACTGCAAGAAGCGCAATTGTACGACCGAGATCAAACTCTTCGAATAGATGCACTCGCCAAGCTTGTTACTATCTATCGATGCCAACGTAAATTTGAGGAAGCCGAAAAGCTGGGGATTGAGGTCATCGAAACCAGGGCGGCTTTCCAAGGTGACGAGCATCCGTCGGTCCTTGAAAGTAAAAACAACCTAGGCAGCGTCCTTATGGAGATGGGAAAGTTGAGCAATGCTACAAACCTCTTCACTGATGTGATAAATACAAAAGAATCACAGGGTATCCGAGATCCAGTATATTTGACCAGCAAATGTTGTCTCGTCGCCACGTATATAGCAGCAGAAAAATGGGGCGATGCTGCGGAATTGGGAATTGAGGCCCTCGAAATGGCGAGAACATCATTAGGAACAGGCCATCTGGCGTGGATCAGAGCAGCAGACCATGTCCTCTTTGCGTACGGTAACCTGGAAGACATAACAGGCTTTGAAAATCTTAAAGGACAAGTCGTCGAAGCAAAGAAGGCAACATGGAAGGAGATCAGCCTTGACCAGATCCATGTGTTCGACACCATCTCATTGGTCCTGGTGCAGCAAGAGAGCTGGTCAGATGCGCAAGAGATTGAAGAGCAAAAATTGCATATGTTGCGCGAATTGCGAGGCGAAGATCATTCCGATACCGTAGCAAGTACGAGTCTGTTGTCATGGATCTGCGAAGAGAATGGCCAATGGACAAAGGCGGAAAAACTCAAGCTCGAAGTCATCGACAAGAACAGATCTATTCTAGGGCCGGATCACGAAGACACTGTGATATATATGGAAGATACAGTGACTTTCTACATGAGGATTGGAGACCTCGAAAAGGCTGAAAAACTTACTCTCGAAGTCATGGAGATCCGACAGCAAGCTTTAGGAAATAGTCATGCTGAAACTATACGCACAAGGAATTTTCTAGCACATGTTATGGCCGCCCGTGGCAAGCATATCGAAGCACAGAATATGAAAGAAGCATGTCGCTTGTTGGAGTTAGGAAATCCTTCATAGAAGATATAGTTCTTCCTTTGTTCAGTCTCAATCTAAAATTCGACGAACTCACTCATTGGCTTGATGATCTGCGGCAAGACCGGACAGTGATGAGAAATTCAGATAATGCTTTCATCTATCTAATGGAGAGAATAAAATCGATGTACTTTAGCAAATCAAATTTCATATTCGGACAACTTCTCCAACGGCTTGACTACCTTGTCGAGAAACAAGCCGAAGATGCCGTTGTCGGTCTCCCTACCGCTTCCCGCCTGCCCCTTACAGCCCAGAGATCCATCAAGACAAGAACGAACACAATCCCGATAGACCCCGCCAACGGTTGTAGTCAATCTGGGCACATATTTCTCGAGTAAGGCTTGCCGGAATCCTTCAGGGCTCAGTGTTCGATGCTCCCTTCGTTGAGCCAGTTTCTGAAGTGGGATCCAGCAACCAACTTCTAGCAGTACTAGACCTAGACTATAGATGTCATATTCTAGAGAAAACCTCCCTTCTTCCCGGTAATCAGGATGTTCGTACTGACGGTAGCTTGACTCATCCGCCGGCCCATCGGTGGCCCAGCTCGATCCATCAGGCCGGCTCTTCTGAAAGCCGACTATGTACGGCTGCCGCCAGACACGGCTGTCGAGAAACATTTTTTTCGGCTCACAGGCGAATACAACATTTTTCGAGTTGAATGTTTCATGCAAGCACCCAACTGTGTACAGCTCTTCGAAGAACGCCGCAAGCGAATGGGCTAGCAGGTATCTGCCTTGCAGCGGGGCCTGACACTCTGCTCCTCTATCGCGGTCCGATCCCAATAGCAGAAGTTGCTGTAAAGTAACGGGAGGCTCGAAAACGTTCTCGGAGGTTGTTGCCGGGAGTTCATAAAGAAATCCATACCCTGGCCGCCGGCCCATCTCCCCGATTTCTTCTACAAAACCAAGACACTTGAGTACCCGCAACTGTGCTGGTTTAGACAAGTTGAAGCTCTCAGCTCGCAGCTCCATAATCAGAAGCCTCTGATGTTCCGGTATGGTATCTGACCGATTTGTGTAATACATCCACTCAACTAGTACTGGTTGGTCTCCACGGAATCTGCCGTACGTATGGCCATTTAACAACTCGATATGGTGTAGATCTTCTCGATTGAGTAAGAGATTCGCGACGACCGAATCTGGAGTTTTTAGCAATTGCAATCGGGTGGCACGAATTCCGGCCATCAGGCCGACGTCAGCAAAGTCCTCTAGTCGATGTTCACGCATCAGCATATCGATATCGTTCAGCCTCTCAATGTCATCCTCTTGCATGGACGAGAGCCAAAGCTCTTGTATCCTTTTAGTTTCCCTCTTTGGAAGAAACGTCCAAAGTTTCTGGACCATTTGTTGGACTGTTTCTGCCACAGACCCACCCAGGTCGATTCGTGTTTCACTTGCATCAACTTGCTGACCGATGTCCTTTTGATGGCCCAATTCAGCATGAACTGTCGCAAACAGAGCTCTTAGTCCATCGCGAAAGGAACGATAGGTTTCCTCTTGAGAGAAAATCGATGAGTTCGCATCTGTTTCGGAGGACAAAAAGCGAGCAATCACATGTAACCTTTCCGCTTCAAACCGCATCGCCATATGAAGCCCAGCTTGATCCAGGTCTTTCTCTGCGGCGATCAAGTATGTCTCCATCTCTGAACAGACTGCAGACGCAAGTGCTTGGAGGCTGATGATATCGAATTCGCAGCGGATGTCTTTGATAGAACATCTAGGTCCCGACACTGGCTGTAGAGCTCGGAATGCAACTTGTAACATCTTCTTGGTTATTATGGACGAAGTAGTCCCCATCTCTTCGAGCCATCGTTGGACATATTCTTTCAACCCACCATCCGACGTAAAGAAATACGTCGTTCTGTATGGCGGGCGCAACACACTTTCCCGCAAAGCACGAAAATGCCGCACTCCTTGGTGACCGCGTTCCATGTAGCTCACGACTTCTGAAATGAGACAGCCGAATGCCCAGACATCGATAGAGCGGCCTACGGATTGATGGGCAAAGGTTGAAGAGTCCATGGTCTCGGGAGCAAGGTAATCTCCTGTCCCCATCTTCCAGGGTGTCTGCGAGTTATCAAGTTTTGGTTTGATTTCCCCAAGGCCAAAGTCGGCAAGAATGAAGGAGTCATGGGTGATTAGGATGTTCGAAGGCCGAAAGTCGTGGTGGTATCCTAGACCGGTGAAATGTACCCCGTTGTGAGCAGCATCTAGACTGATATTGTGAAGTTGTTCAAGGGCTGAGGCGAGACCCCGAAGCGCGATCGGAAACATGAAGTCACATTGGAAGTCTTCGAAGCGGGATTCTAGATCTAGAAATTTGGCCAGGTCCATTGCAAAAGGCGGAAACAAAAAGTTGTGCTCTTCGTTGTGCGTGTAGGAGCCCAACAAAGGAATGATGTTGGGGTGTTTCAACTGGTGGAGTAATCGAAGGGATTTCATTTCTTTCTGGAAACTCTTGTCATAATCTTCCTGCGTTTGTTTCTTTCGATGCATGATTCGTTTTCTAATCACGGATACAGTATCCTCCTGTACCCCACTGTCAGTGCATGCGACATTACAACAAAACTCCACACTCACTTTGCTGTGGAATAGCTCTTGGAGGTTTGTTGGAATTTGTATTCTCGTAACTTCTCCGAACCCGCCTTGTCCAATCTTCTCCGCTTCACCAACAAATGGAAAGATGACATTGGCTTCATGGATGTAGCGATGATAATCGCACATATCCTTTTTGAAAACATATGGAAGAAATTGCCATTGAATCTCGCGAGCAAAAGAAAGCCCAAATTCGGGCACGATCTGCTGGGCTCTAGTCTCGGGTATAGGAAGCTGTGTGTCTAAGCAATCGTGCTCGCGAAACTTGACAATATTGCCCGACCGTCTCATCCAAACAAGAATGGCAAAAACGACGATGCCTTCTTGGTGAATTTTGTTTGCAAGACCAATTCGTTCGTGTGGATCACAATCAAGTTCTTGGATCGCGAGTTCAACCTTATCGAGACTAAAAATGCTTCGTATCTTCTCTGCGCAGATAAAGTAGGTCCCAGAAACCGATCTGGATCGGTTTTTCTCAATTTCCTGATACAATGTTTCAAGATACATCTTAAAAAGTGACACTCTATCTTCAAAAGCGGATACTAGCTGAGCTGCTCAATTGAGGGGACGGCGTCATCATATGAGACGCGGTAGGATTGCGATGAGTGACCTAGAATTGTATTCGCAGACAATTTTCGGTGCTCTATTCTCTGTCCTGTACAGAATCGGTCTCGTCCTAGTGATTTGAAGATCAGAAGAGTGCTAAGTGAAAGGGAGGAGGTTCTAGTGACCTTGGACAGCGCTCGCGGGGCCGTTATCTCAACGTAACCCCCAGAAATCTTAATTAGTCAGATACTCAATATCGATATACTGGCATAGAAAGGATTACCTTGACAGAATACCGGCCTGGAAACAGTCTTTGAAGCAGAAGGTCGAGTTTGTCCAACAAGACATATGTCTCTTCTAGTGTAGTTGTGACTGCCATTAGGTTACGATACGAGTCCAAAGCGCCAAAGGTAAGATGGAAAATGAATGCGGGACTAAGAGTCACACTAGAGCAAGAGGGTTTCTCACCGGAAAGCACATGTAAATGCGACACTGCTCAAGCGAGTTGCGTGTCGGTCAGCCATTGGGCAGCCGAACTGGTCAGGCGTCCTCCTCATGTGTCCCGCAACAGCCTCTTTTGTGATGGGCTGCGAACCAATTGTTTTTAAATCAAGTCTGCCTTGTGTAACCCGCCTTACCACAAGCCCCACGCTCTTGAGGTTCGCCGAGACAAGGCAACGAAATTGTGCCAGATCGAACAGGTAGAGCGGTCTCAGTATACACAGCCTCTTACAGGGACTCGCACATATAAAATCGCACTTTCAGAGTACCTCTCTAGCCAGTGCGTAACCTCAAATCCCGTGTTATTGGGCATCAAGGCGACATAACTTCCTGTCTAACTATGGGATGCGACGTTGATCACCAGATCTGCAGTCGAGATATACAGAGGCACTCCTCAAGTTTATTTGTTGACAAAGAAGCCGACTGTACAGCTGAGGTATGGAACCTTGGTTTCAGCTCGCTGGAGTCACGGCGTACGTTAAATCAGCATTACCATGGGCACTCGGCACTCACGCATGATAAGGCAACAGCCGAGGCTCAAGGAGGCCAATCATCTCCCTCGTTCGTAACCTGCAAGATTTGGAAAACCAATGGAAAGTGAGTAGACACGAATTGTAACGAAATTAAATTAATGTGGCTAGGGCTTGGATGGCTCCTCTACGACCACTATGATGTAAGAACAGCGATACCTTACCCTATAATGGACCAGACTGATCATCATGAAGAGTTATTCGTCGGAAGAATTCTTGGAGTAGAATGAAGATACTCCCTGAAATGTTCAACTATATCATTACATCAGTTGGCACGCCGCCACAATTCTTGAAAATCGTACTAGGCCTTGGTCAACGGTCGTCCTCCGGGTATGAATCCTTCACGACGTTTTATCGAAGCTTCATGACACCAGTAGGCTCCAAACCAAACGTAGTAGCAAATGGTATTTCCCCATCAACACATTGCTGGTAAGGGATGCGCTAATATACAAGAAGGGTTTGACATTTCTTACAACATCCGGTATTTTGAGCCCCACGGGCGGCAACTTCAGGATCCTTATTCATGCCGTCAGTCTGGAATCCATCACAAATTTTACTTTCAAGGCGGTCGCTCCACCTGGATCATCATTCAGCCTCCTCAGCTGTTCAATGAAGACCTCCAACAAACAGATAGCCATGATAAGGCTCATCCCTTGGCTCTCCACGTTCGTCTGATCAAATCAGCGACGTATTACTTCAAGGAGTATCTCAGCTTTAAAGCGTCTCAGCTAGGTTTAATGGTAAGTTTGAAGACGTTTTGCACCGCAATCGCTTACCTGTATCTGACCAAAAATGCTGCGTAGGACGCTAAACTCAGCATTTCCAAACCGTATGCTGAATTCGACACGGATTTTTCAACGAGCCAAGCTTTGCACCAATTGAAGAAACAGCTTCTTCTGGCTCTTGAAGTAGTAGACGGCATCTCTCGCATTACTCAGAAGCTGCTGATTCACCTGTCCGACCCAAGGACATTTTCGAATGTTCTTAGCCAAATCAACATGAAGCATGATCTTGACCAGATCAGCAGTGACATGGAGGGTCACAAGGCTACAATCCGACACTTGCTCCAAGTAGTTGAAAGTATCGGAGCTTTAGTAAGTAGCTTCGGCTACTCTATTGAAAGACTTGGTTGTACTAACGCTACTATCAGAATCGCGACATTCTAGCGCTTAGGAATCAAGAGCTTCTAGTAAAAAATAGCCACGTTCTGTCGCAGCTTGCACAGACTAGTGCTAATGAAAGCAAGACTATAACAGACATGACGAATCAGACTCGGCAAGATTCGCGAGTCATGCGGATTGCAACAGTGATAGCGATGGTGTATCTGCCCGCAAACCTCGTCCTAGTATGTAATCCTTTAACTCTCTACGAGTTCCAAGACCTAGAGCAACCCCAAGCTCTTCTATGTTTTGCTAATCACATGGTTCCGATAGTCTTTCTTCAGTACTTCTTTGGTCGAACTTCGCACAACCACTCAGGCAGAAAGCACCAGTGCGAGGATTATGGTGTTTGACCAGGTGTGGGTGGCAGTGGTCAGTAGCTTTCTGCTCGTCATTTTCAATATTGCTGCACTTGTAGTATGGAACCGACTAGGTCCAAGGTAGATTGTCTAATGTATGTATGTGACATACACATAATCGGCTAGATCATGTGCCAATCGCTAGAGTTGATTAACGACGAGGCTAGGGGGTAGTCTTGCTAAAACATGGCGGGTTACTTTAGATAGGATCGGAAGGTTGGTTGTTAGTTGCGTGAGAAATGGTCGGTAAGAGGACTACAAGGATGATGTAGGTAGCTGACGCTAGCACCTGATTGGCGGGTTCCCGTTTGGGGAAATACGAAACATTCCGGCATGGCCGTATGTACTAGGATACGGCCATTAAATTCAATACATTGATGGCCAAGATGTGGACGTATGCTAGGTCTTGGGTATTGTTTGAGAGGGCTTACGTGATGCTATCTACATCACACGCGTCGCAGTTAGCTCCTCGCCTTCGTAGTAGCTACGTAGGTGTATTGCTACTCTACGCATTTTACTGTCCGTATTTTATGTATAAAAAGACCTTGTTGCGGGGGTAATATTTCGCACTGAACAAGGCTTGTTGTAGTAGGCCTTGCCCGCTTGACCTCGATCTCCAGTTTTACCAGTTGACCAAGGGGTTCGGTGTTTTTGAATTTGATATTGTTGTTTCTCAGAATAAGGTTTGCTGTTGGATGCACCCCCGCATTGGTTGGATGCAGCTACTCCTGGTATATGCTCCAGTCCAAGGGGAATACTACACACTGGCGAAGAACAAGTATATGGCATGGGGAAGCATACGCGGCAAGGATGCAGACGCGGCAGACGTGTTAAGTGTGTGGTAATGCGCAAGGCCCAGAACGAATTTTCATATGGCGATTACTAAAGAGGGAAACGCACGACAGATGACATAGGTGCGCTGGGGGTGGGATTGGTGATTGCAGAAGGGAGTGGCAAAGCGGGTACGGTCTTCGGCTTGTGATTGCTCGGCGGTTGGGCTTGCCTAAGCGGGCACGAGAAACCGAGGTCTTGTCACGGACGGTCACGATTCAGGCTCTCAAAGACCAGCCGTATCCCGGCCGACGGCAATGCGCCCTCAGTGTCAGCGTTCCCCATCGCCCCCCATCCCATCACCGTCATCCAGCCCGTTTGCGCTCTTGTTCGTCTATCCACGGGACTGCAAACGAGCGCGTGCAGTGACCCTCGACGCGGATCCGCTGTTTTGCCATTACAGCCCCCGGCCTCGGCAGGTTCCCCGCAAGAAAGCTCTCCTGGTTCCGTTGAATCGCCGCTACTCACCAGCCTCTCAACCGCCGCACGCCCTCGCCATCTCGCCGCAATCCATTGCTGTTTGCGTGTAAAAGGGGACGACGGGGCACACACGACACACACGACACAATGTCTTCGCCATCGCCGCCAAAGCCATGGGAGACGAGCGCCGGCGCGACAAGTGCATCGGTTGGTAAGCTTCGCCAGTCGATCCGAGCGATAGGGACAACCGTGACTGACGATCGCACAGGTCTCACAGGATCAAACACCAGCACAGCATCCACAACCGCCACATCGCCAACTTCTTCGACCGCTCCTCCACTGCCATCGGTACCCGACTCGCTTAGCACCGTCGCGAACCGCAACGCGACCGCCTACTCCGGCATGAACAACCGATACACCTCACTTTACGGCACAGGCTATGGAGGCATGAGCAGCTACAACTCACCATATTCCACCATGGGCGGCGCGTATGGCTCCATGTACGGTGGCATGGGCGGTATGGGAGGCATGTACGGCGGCATGGGAGGAATGTATGGCGGCATGTACGGAGGCATGGGCGGCATGCCGGGCGACCCAAACAGCAGCCTTACACAGTCCTTCAGCCAGAGCACAGCAGCGACATTCCAGCTCATCGAAAACATTGTTGGCGCCTTCGGTGGCTTCGCGCAAATGCTCCAAAGCACATACATGGCGACTCACTCGTCATTCTTTGGTATGTCCCTAACTTGATCACGACCGTCTGCCAGTTTCTAATGTGTGACAGCCATGGTATCCGTTGCCGAGCAGTTCGGAAATCTGCGACAAACACTCGGTTCGGTTTTGGGCATATATACCGTCATGCGGTGGATAAGAACCGCTATCGCAAAACTTACCGGACGACCCTTACCAGCCGACGCGACCGCATTGACTCCCGCGAGCTTCGCAGCCTTTAACGGCCGCATGCCAGATGGCTCACCAGCACCCGCAAAGCCATCAAAGAAGCCTTTCATCGTGTTCATGCTCGCCGTATTTGGTCTGCCATACCTAATGGGCAAGCTCATCAAGGCCCTTGCCCGATCACAAGAAGCCGAGGAGCAACGAAAAATGCTCGAGAACCCACACTCGGCACAACCGCTCGATCCCAACAAGCTCGAGTTCTGCCGTGCATTGTACGACTTCACCCCCAATGCCAATATGCAGGGTATGGATCTCTCCGTGAAGAAGGGAGATATGGTTGCCGTCCTCAGCAAGAGTGATCCCATGGGCAATGCATCAGAGTGGTGGAAATGCCGGTCAAGAGACGGTCGCGTGGGTTATCTTCCCGGCATCTACCTCGAAACTATTCAGCGAAAGACACCCGCTCAGATCACCAGTGGAAGCCAGGTCGGAAGCCCGGCTGGAAGCAGAACCCAGACAATGACCAGCAGCAGTGCTACAAGTGGAACTGCTACTATGATCGAGTCGAGCATGGGGAATAAGGCTGGACCAAAGATTGACAGCAAAGCAGGAGATATGGGTGTTGAGAGTTTCCAGAAGGGTGCATTCTACTCGTAAGCTTAAAGGGCTTGTTCTTGAGCAATCTGCTCGTTTCATTGCATATGGCGTTCTTCGTATCATCAGTTTATGGCCTGCGGGCCTGTTGTACAAAGCTTGTTTAGGGAAAAGCTGCGGCTAAGGCGTATGGCGCTCCAAGATATCACGGACGGAATCAATGACAAATTTAATGTTCAGTAACTATTCTATTAATCATAGCACAATATGACTATCACGTGAAGATGCAGCTGTTTCCATGATCTAAGGTTGCATCTAACATGGGTGCGCGGATAGGCAGATCCACGCTCACGTCATTCGCACATTGAACCTCCAAGCTTCAAAGCAAACAGCGCAAACTCTAGACCTTCGCTTTTCCTGTAGAGCTGCCTTTACCCGCTGATAGTTTTGTCGCCCTCTCTCCAACTACGGTATCCTAGATTTCCTTCTACTGCGACTTGTACGATACTAGGTTGCCACGTACAAAGGTCCACCGCTCTGCCCCTCCCCCACCGAGCGTCGTTTGTTGCGCCCGCGTAGACCGACAGCACCACAACACCATACACAAAGCTTCAACAAAGGCAACATATTCTTTCGAACGATTCTGGAAGTGCTCAGCTTGAGTTGCACGTGGCAGTCTATCTGAAGAAGGACAAGGCGCAACTCGGCCCAACATGTTCGCATCCAAACGGCTAGGCAAGGTACGTGTATACAACAGGATGTAGACATAAAATCACGCGCAGTGACAAACGTGCAAATGACACAAAGCTAATCAACCTTGCAGGAGCTATCCAAGGTACCGTAACCCTCCCGTCCCTTGCGAATTACACAGACTCGCGTCACCTCGGTCAAGTCGACGCGCCCAAGACACGATACGCAAAACCATACTAGTTTTATGCATGTATATGGAAAGGTCGCTAAATCAGAGGGATAGATGCATGAGAAGCTTCCACCAGGCATAACGCTTGTTCAAGCTGACGACTTCCAAACCTGGCTCATGGATATCAAAGTCATGGACTCGAATCCCATATACGAAGGCGAAACATACCGCTTGAAATTCAGTTTTAGCCCGCAGTATCCTATCGAGGTATTTGATTCCTGCTTCGAGCTAGTCGAATTCGCCTAGCTAGTTGCTAAACTCCCCACTTCATAGGCCCCCGAAGTCGTATTCGTCCGCGATGAAACTCACCCGATACCCTGGCACCCGCACATCTACTCCAACGGCATCATTTGCCTCGACCTGCTAGATCGCTCTGGCTGGTCCCCTGTACACAATGTGGAGAGCGTATGTGTGAGTTTGCAGAGCATGCTCACGAGCAACACGAAAAAGGAAAGACCTCAGGGAGACGAGAATTTCGTAAGGTACAATACCCAGAGGCCAAGGGACATCAGCTTTGTGTTCCATGACGAGAAGGTTTGAGACTGTGGCAACTCTGGTTTACATGGCGGCTTTTTGAGAACGAGTGGGCATTAGTGTATTATAGAGTTGGTGTACGGCGTTTTTTTTTACGGGATATGGAGGCTAGGATGGGAAAGGACTGGGCGTTACATGATGACAGTTCCGAGCATTGAAACAGGGAAAGCTTGTCAGTTGATCAAGCCTTCGATGAAGACATAGAAAATTGGTATGCTGAAAACTTTCTATCACAGTAAAAGATTCATTGCACACTATTCCCTGCTGGCATTATGGCTGTTAGAATGAAGTCAACTTTTTTTAATAGATCCGAACCAATCTAGTCTTATAGTCATGTGTAAGTCTGTTAGCGGTATGTGTATGATTCTCAGTCCGCCTATGTGCTTGAGAAAATGGATATGGTCTTCTAAACCCTGTACCAGTGTGCAACCATGGAGGTAAAACATGCTTTATAGATATGATGTGTCACACTTTCTAGTCGCACTATTACATCTGCCTATACACTATCAATGGCTCAGTTATGGTGTGATTTTCCCTTTTCCTTAGGACGAAGGCCTCCGAGTCGAGGTTCGTGTCTTTCCCAAGTGTCTGGAACAAAGAAACGCAATCCGGGTTGCCCTTGTGCAACTGTCTCCTGAAGCAGAGTTGGCATTGGAGTTAGTGTTTTCCGCAAAAACAAAAGAAATATGCTTGCTTTGAGAATGGACCGATACCTGGGTCCACCAGCAGAACATGAGTGTCAGCTGCACAGCCTATGTTGTTACCTTCTACAAAGGTACTCGCGCTCTGGGATATGGAATTTCTCTGCCCACAAAGGGCACTGCTGCTTTTGAACCCTTCCAATGATTGTTCTAACAAGTCTCGCTCAATCCTTATAATATAAAGGAGAAAATAACTCTCTCCGAGACCAACCGAGGTTCGCCTCTAGGTTTTGTTGCCTCCAATTATTTTATTTTCCAAGGTATCGATAAGCGCCGGCGAACAAGTTAACCGAGTGCGCCTAGCGTCGCCCGCCGACACTACGAACGATCCCTGCGAGGCCAATTTTTCTCCGTTCGCTCGCCTTTAAGCAAGCGCAAAAAAGATTCCCAGCCCTTTTTTCCCACCTTCTCTCCAACACCTTCCTGCTCTTCAATTTTACTTCAGGTTGTTCCTTCCACACATACCGCAATCATGAGCGAAGAAGTCTACGAGGGTGCCATCGGCATCGATCTTGGTGCGCAACACTCGCAATATTACCCCACAGTGGCATGTGCTAACCGATATCCCCAGGCACTACCTACTCTTGCGTTGCCAACTATGAGGGCACCAATGTCGAGATCAGTATGCGCCCGCTCAATCCATTCTCATCAAAGCAATCGTCTAATCATGCTTTCCCACAGTTGCCAACGAGCAGGGTAGCTTCACCACTCCCTCGTTCGTGTCCTTCACCTCAGAGGAGCGTCTTATCGGTGAGGCGGCCAAGAACCAGGCTGCTATGAACCCCGAGAACACCGTCTTCGATGTAAAGTGAGTTTCGTCTTTTTCGCAGACATGTTGGACATGCGATCAGTAGACTGACTCTGCCAGGCGTCTCATTGGTCGCCGATTCGAGGACGAGACCGTCACAAAGGACATCAAGTCATGGCCATTCAAGGTCGTTGACCAGAACGGCAGTCCTATGGTTGAGGTCGAGTACCTCGGTGAGAAGAAGCAGTTCTCTCCTCAGGAGATCTCTGCCATGGTTCTCGTCAAGGTACGATCTGCGCCCACATACCCTATTCAGCGGGGCAAATACGCACTTTGTGTGTGGCGAGGTAGAACTAACACACTCCACAGATGAAGGAGGTCGCTGAGACCAAGCTCGGAAAGAAGGTTGAGAAGGCCGTCATCACTGTGCCTGCTTACTTCAACGACAACCAGCGTCAGGCTACCAAGGATGCTGGTGCCATTGCTGGCCTCAACGTTCTCCGTATCATCAACGAGCCTACCGCCGCTGCTATCGCTTACGGTCTTGGTGCCGGTAAATCCGACAAGGAGAGGAACGTCCTCATCTACGATCTCGGTGGTGGTACTTTCGATGTGTCTCTTCTGCACATTCAGGGTGGTGTCTTCACTGTCAAGGCTACTGCCGGAGAGTAAGTTCTCCTTTTTGCTTCACTACACAAACACTTTAGCTAACTCAACACTAAAGCACACATTTGGGCGGCCAAGATTTCGATACCAACCTCCTTGATCACTTCAAGAAGGAGTTCACTAAGAAGACCAAGAAGGGTACGTGGAGTGATGAAAATTTCCTTTCCCCTCAGAAGTCAATGATGGCAGCCATAATGGCAAAAACACCATTTCGAATGTTTTTAAGCTCGTTGTGATTCGATACTCCTACTGACATTTTGTAGACATCAGCGGTGATGCTCGTGCCCTTCGCCGTCTCCGAACTGCTTGCGAGCGTGCCAAGCGTACTCTCTCCAACGCTACCCAGACCACCGTTGAGATCGATTCTCTTTTCGATGGTGAGGACTTCAACGCGAACATCACCCGTGCTCGTTTCGAGGACCTGAACCAGAAGGCCTTCGCTGGCACTCTGGACCCCGTTGCCCAGGTTCTTAAGGACGCCAACATCGGCAAGGACAAGGTCGACGAGATCGTCCTCGTTGGTGGTTCTACCCGTATTCCCAAGATCCAGAAGCTCCTTAGCGACTTCTTCAACGGCAAGAAGCTCGAGAAGAGCATCAACCCCGATGAGGCCGTTGCCTACGGTGCCGCCGTCCAGGCCGGTATCCTTTCCGGAAAGGCTACCTCCGCCGACACCGCCGACCTTCTCCTTCTCGATGTCGTTCCCCTCTCCCTTGGTGTCGCCATGGAGGGTAACATCTTCGCTCCCGTCGTTCCCCGTGGCCAGACTGTTCCTGTGAGTATTTATCCGTTCCTGCTTAGATCATGATCTGACTTTTTTCCAGACTATCAAGAAGAGGCAAGTTCTTTCAATGATCTCCGATGTTGCTCTGGCGCGACATTTCTGTTTTTGCCGGTGTTGTTGGGTTCACGTCACGTGACGCAACATTCACGGCTCCCCTTTCCATCACCCCCCACTTTCGGCGTCTTATGAACAACTGCTAACTTCCTACAGGACTTTCACTACTGTTGCCGGTAAGATAATACTCGCTGCTTGTTTCTGACCATGTACTGACTTTTCTAGACAACCAGCAGACCGTCCAGTTCCCTGTCTTCCAGGGTGAGCGTGTCAACTGCGAGGATAACACCTCGTTGGGCGAGTTTACCCTTGCACCAATTCCTCCCATGAGAGCCGGGTACTCATCCTTTTTCTGATGTTTACGAGCTGGTTGCTAACATGTCGTACAGTGAGGCCGTCCTCGAGGTTGTTTTCGAGGTCGATGTCAACGGTATCCTGAAGGTCACTGCTACCGAGAAGACCTCCGGCCGCAGCGCCAACATCACCATCTCCAACGCCGTTGGCAAGCTCTCGTCGACTGACATCGAGAACATGATCAACGACGCCCAGAAGTTCAAGTCCAGCGACGAGGCTTTCAGCAAGAAGTTCGAGTCCAGGCAACAGCTCGAGTCTTACATCTCCCGTGTCGAGGAGATGGTCTCTGACCCCACCACTTCCATCCGCCTCAAGCGTGGCCAGAAGGAGAAGATTGAGTCTGCTCTTTCTGATGCCATGGCGCAGCTTGAAGTCGAGGATGCGTCCGCTGAGGACCTTAAGAAGAAGGAGCTTGCGCTCAAGCGCACTGTCACCAAGGCTTTCTCCACCCGATAAGCGTATCATATATGAGGAACGCCACATGGGTTGGCGGGTAGGAAGTAAGGGCGCAGGTGCAGGATACCCAGACTGCAAGCTGTGAACGGAGTTTCATCTATTGCGGCTTTTAACGATAGACTTGGTGTGTTTGTTTCCTTCTTCTTTCATGGGTTCCCGTTTCCGGCATTCATGGAACGTGAAAAAAGTCTTCTTTATGCTTTCACGACAATGCCTGACGAAACGATCGTAAAGGATGTTCTGCAAAAGTATGCCTGGCGGTCAACGTCTCTTATGTAGTTCACGAGGTAGATGCATGGAGAGAGGAAAGGAAATTGAAATGAATTTATTAAATTTGACCTTTCTTCTATACTTGATCAGTGCATAAAAACCGTAATGATTAAAACTAAGTTTAAATTCTCTCTTGAATTTAAGGTTAAGTTTGGGCCCTCTCTTTTCTTTAAGGATAACTCCTAAAACAAGCATTTGCGAATTAGCCTAGTCGCGAATAGGCTTACTTATATATTATGCCCCTAAAAGTTTAAATGTCTAAGGTATCGTGAATATAGAACGCGGAATCTGAGAAGTACATAGTACTAAAAGGAAGAAGAAAATTTCAAGAAATCTTCTTCAGTGTCACATTCCCACCCACTACCCACTATAGTATTAGAAGATGGAAGCAAAATCTTTTATTTGGCTGAATAAGTATGAGGTTTCGATACAGACTTTATCTTTATTTGGTGGAGAGAGGTGTGGATATGGCTCCAAACTTTCTTCCAACTAAAGCTGCATTGATTACTCCAATAGTTGAACACTCGCACCAGAAAAGCATGTAAAATAATCTTCAAATATCAACATTCACGTTTCGATCACGAATTTACTCTTGCTTTCCTTTCTTCTTCCCTTCCCTTATTCGTTTCCCCAACCTACCTTTCCCCCCCCCCCCCCCCTCCTACCTCCCCACCATCCTCTCCAAAACCGTATCAACCACCGCCCAAACCGTCGAGCTATACGGGGCTCCCCACGCATACCCCGCAAACCACATGCCCCTATACCCTTGCAAACTATTTACCTCGCTCACAAACCCGCTTTGGATCTTGGCTGCATCCTGCGGCCACCACGGCCGCGAGTGATCGGAGGTCGCTCGGAACGTCACCTCACACTCAGTCGTAGCGTTCACTGAGCCCGCGCGGATTAACTGGCCCACACGATCCCGTACTAGTTCTTGAAACTGAGGCGTGGAAAGCGTGTAATTCGCGCCAAAGACGACGCGGAAGAGATTTGTGCCTGCGGGACCGGTAGCGTCGAGACGGAGACTGTAGGGGTAGTCTTTTACTGCCAAGTAGCCGGTTGGTACTATAGCCTGGGGCAGGAAGGAAATGGAGGTTTTGGCAGGGAGGCAGGGTGCGTGGATTATTGCTACGAATTCTGCGCTGGGGGTCCAGGGGGTGAAGAGGGATTTTTGGCGCTTGTCGGGTTGGAAGGGGGAGAGGTTGGCGAGGGTTGGGGGTGCGGTGAAGAGAATTTTGTTGGTGGTGATGAGGTAGGAAGACCCTTTTGAGTTGGTGACGGTGAGTTGGATGCTGTTTTTTGTACGTTTGGTGGATTGGACGGTGCTAGAGAGGAGGATGTCGGATTTTAGGAGGGAGAGGGCGCGGGTGTAGAGGAGGCCATTGTTGCTGTTTGTTGGGCGGAAGAGTATGGATTGGAGGAAATCTGGGGGGATGGAGAGTTAGTGAGGATTTTCTGATAGGAGGAGTAAGTTGAAGAGTTACCTTGTGTAAGTGATGCTCCAAATGCTTGGAAAACAGTCAACGTCAAGAGATCCCTCACGCCACCATATCCTACACCTGAAATCGTAGTTATCCGCGGCACTGCCGCTTCAATTCCTTCTCTCTTTGCAAACTCCTCAAAAGGGATCAGAAAATCTTCGGGTATATCGCCTGGAAGTGGGAAGTTCCAATATCCTGGCTCCAAGTACTGTTGGTACTTCTGGGTAATGGTGAGCCAGCGGCTGAGCGCTTCATTCGTAGCATTCAAACTTGGAGCGCGGTAATCCAGTAGCGTTTTTCCTGTTTCGACATCAACGTTGAGCGGAGTCAGTCTCTCTGGAGAAAAGACTTCAGTTGTAATATTGAAGCGGGCAAAGAAGGAAGATGCAGGGCCATAGGGGATATACGACTGCACGCCGTAATCGACAGTGGTGTTTGTTTCTGGGATGAGGTATGTACTTGTATGGCCACCTAGATTGGGTCTGGGTTCAATGACGATGACGCTTTTCCCAAGGTCTTCGCGAAGACGGACTGCGGCGTAAGTGCCTGATGCACCTCCTCCAATGATGACAACATCCTTGGTTATTTGAACCGGGTTTGGTTTAGACGTTGCTAAACTAGCGGGGGTACTGAGGAGAAGGAGAGACAGGATGCTGATTGATTTGGACATTGTAGCAGAAACTGACGCATAGTATCGTTGAAATGTTTGGGAATCACGCATATAAACGATACTTAATGGAAAGCACGGCAGTTGTCCAGGCACACTCGTAGTGAAGGAAGCTTGGCGCAGCGGAGGTGGCTGCAAATGGCGCTGTTACTACATGTGGAATGGTAAGTATGCATGCCTAGGCTCATTCAGGCGTTTGGTGGCCAGCCTCGTGTGGGATTGTAGCCTAAGCTGTACTCGCTATGGGAGTCCCATTTAGCTAATAGTACTCCAAAATGTGGACTTGTGGAGTTGCTCGTCAGAAACGCTATTGTTTTAGCCATGAGAGCGGTGATGGAATCGCACTTCTTTAACATAGTCTGCATAGTCGCTGCCTACTGGACATTCAATAGCAATTTATTGGTCGTACGTCCCATCCGCCGCAGTCCTTTGATTGGACGGCTATAAAACATCATACAGGGAGTATCAGTCTGGCCCCCAACAATATGCCGCACATGAGAATGTCTGCATGTGCACGCATCAACACAAATTGAATGCAGAAAGCATGCTATTTACGCGGCACATGACAGAAGAATCTAGTATGTCGCATGGAAGCCCAAGTACTGATGTGCGTGGGTCTCCAAACTCAATTTTGCTCATACGGCTGAAGTCGTTGAGGTGGCTGTGGAAACATGGACGGATGTAAGCGGGTGAGCAATTGGTACAGGTGGATAGTTAGACCATGTACGCACCACTTGGTAAACAGTCCTCCTTTCAAGTCTCTCTAGAGCTCAGTGAGTGCTGTTACAATGAACAGATGCGAAGATGATACTGTGTAAGCTCTGCAAATGACATTCCCCAGGCACACCGTTTTCTCTCATGCATAATTCAATACAACGGTCCTGGACAAAAAAGACTCTACGGTAATGCTAGCGCTGAATACGATGGCCGCCCCACCCCTCAAGTCCACGGTTTTTGTCACATATGTACTCATCGTCCTCCTCCGAAAATGCGATTCTTAACTTGCGCCGTCTTACTCCCATTTGTAAACAACCCAGTTTGCAACATCTCTTCTCTATCAGTCCATTCAGTAAAATATGCCGATATCCCATCTTGTGTAGCTCTTCGTACCGAAACACTGGGATCGCTGGTCATTGGTCGTCCTCCCCCGTACCCAGGCTACCAAGAGGACCAAATATCTTCCATCAGGGACGATCTAGCCAATAAAAAAAACGTATACCATTTGAAAGTTATCGACAAGGCAACTGATGATGAAATCGTCGCCTATGCAAAGTGGGAAATCTACGAGCATGGACGGCCTGACCTTGAGGGTCTAAAGCAGCCAATGGACGAAGTGTCAAAGCAAGTGGACCAGTATGGTCGTCTGCGAGAAGCTGCACACCAATACTTTTGCAGTAGAAACGGAGAATTGGGCAAGCACCCTCATATACGTGAGCTGAGCTACCACCCTTGTATCGTCAGAATGCTCATATCCTGAACGCAATAGTCCTGGAACTTCTCGTTACTTCCAGCAAACATAGACGACGAGGTGCCGGTAGCCTTCTTGTGCAATGGGGACTTGCAAAATCGGAAGAGCTGCAGCTTCCTGTGTTTCTGCAGGCATCTGCGCAAGGCCAGCAACTTGTCCAAAACTATGGGTTCGAGACGATCGATAGGGTCAAGTTCACTCTCGCCGACTATGGGCTCACAGGAACAGAGCTCATGTCTGTAATGATTCGATATCCACCCAAGAATGAGGCTAATGAAGCCTTGATATGTGGGTAGTCTCAAACCGGCGCCGGAGCCGATGCACAGTGGTGATTGGGGGCCAAAGTATCTAAGGGCGCTTCCATAGGCCAATACTGTAGCTAGTTGGTGCGTGCAATAGGTCAGCTAATGTAATACTTTTTACGAGAAGAATCCAGAAAATCTCCATTTTTTTAAGCTTAAGTACCATAGTTTTAAACTCTTTTAAACGGCTAAATTAGAGAGGAAGTACTTAAGCTTAAAAAAATGGAGATTTTCTGGATTCTTCTCGTAAAAAGTATTACATTAGCTGACCTATTGCACGCACCAACTAGCTACAGTATTGGCCGTCGCGATGTACGCTAGGCTGCATATACTGAGGTGTTAACTCTATTCATGATATAGAACACCTTTCCCCAGTTCATCACTTCCCCGAACTTCATTCACTACTCGCTGAAGAGCTGTAGGCAGACCTTGATCATTGCCGAAGTGTTCAAACGAGAAACTCTAGTAAACCAGAATGAGAGAGGAGAGGACACGAAGAAGCTTTTCCAATCTAGGCCCCTACACATCGGTCCATTACTTATCTACTTCCCAGTGGCCTCATTTAATCTAACCAGTCCAGTGATGACCACAAGACAGTCCAGCAACTGCGAATACTCTGGACTCTTCCCAGAGACGTGCATTTGAAACTGATCAGGACTTTGACTACTTGATGGTATGTCGGATGATGTCTCGGGACATGATTCAGTGTCAGCTAAAAATTGATGTTAGAATTGCTCGCATAGGAAGTACGGAAAACAAGTATTGTTTTATACTAAGACAGAACTCTAATGGTACTCATGTCTGCAGGCTGTTCTCTGTAAAAAGCCCATCTTGCTGTCATCCTGAGTTTGCACCCACATATGTCCACAGTTCCGGAGAGAGTACGGGGAGAAGAGTTCAGGCATCTCGTCGTACGGATCATGGGTCGAGCACAGTGAGCAGTACAAAATCATCAGTATATTGGATGGCATCCCATTTCAATGCCGACATGAGCTATATGGCTACCCAAGGACGAGCCGTGCAAAACAATGGACACTGCCGACTCCGAGCATTTGAATCATTACTCTATTTACTCGTGTTCGAAAGGAAAATTACTATCCTCGGTGGTGCGTTGGTGAGGATTAGAGTGAAATCTGCTCAGGATACCAAGGTTGACAGCAATCAGAACCTTGGGGTTCTCCTACTCTAATCCATCTTGAAAACTAATCTCAGATCAAGATCTGTGTATATGTGGAATTCACGAATAGTCCACACAAGCCGAACTACTCTTTCGAGCTGCGTTCCCTTCGGACAGGTGATCTAGATGGCGAGCGAGTGACACGACGTCTGCCCTTACCAGCTTTGCTGCGTGATCGAGACCTGCTAGAACCAGGCGACCGTTTGCGCTTCTTGACATCAGCGCGAGAGTCAGCTGAGTCAGCGGCAGAAGAAGTGGAGTATCTACGTCGCCGCTCACGCACAGGGCTTACAGATCGAGAAGACCTCGAAGGAGAGCGACGTCGACGGCGTGGAGGGCTTTGTGATGGTGACCTCGTTCGGAGCCTGGGCGCTGGTGAGCTCGATTTACCACGAGGAGAACTAGATCGCGAATTATGCCTAGGTAGCCTTCTCTTATCTTGGCCAGGAGACCAAGACCTGTCCTTGCGTGCCCCTCGTCGTCTCGGGGGCGGAGAATTGCTTCTTGAAGGGGATCTCCGTCGCGTGCGGCGAGGCGGAGACCTAGAGCGATCAAGCGATGGCGAGCGACGAGTTCGGCGCCTGGGTGGACTTCGCGATGGTCCTGACGATGGTGAGCGACGTGCACGACGAGGTGGTGGGGATGCAGAACGACTGCCTGAAGGGGAACGACGGCGCTCGCGTGACCTATCGTAACGCCCTCCACGACCGCGACCTCGGCCTCCTCCAGGTATGTATAAGTCGCGCTCGCGATTCGGTGGGGAATGCCTTCTTCTCCTGTCTCGTGTGAGTGATTTGGTCTTGTAATCTAGGAATATAGCACATACGGTGGTGATCTCGAGTCACGTCGAGGATGCCCTCTGTCAAAATCCCGGCCTCGGCCTCTACGGTCACTGCCGCGGTATCGTCCACCACCACCGCGTCCGCGTTCGGGACGATCTGAACGTTCGCTTTGGCGGAAGGAGTCGATCATGGCGTTCTGTGCTTGGTCTTCAGCGCGCCTTGCATCGGCAGCGGCCTTGGAAAGCTATAGGCTGTGTCAGTAACGCTGGTGACATGAGCTTAGGATGTGCCATACCTGTTCCTGTTGCAATTCAGCCTTCTTTGCTTCCAAGAGCTCACGCGGTACGCCCACAGGACTGTCTTGGGCGCTGAGCATGAGATCCCATAGCTCTTTGCAGAACGGAGCTGTGTCTTTTCCCAAAAAGCCGGTAAGTTGGATTTGGATTTCCTTAATCTTTGGCTGGACAAAAGTCAGTACAATGCTAGCAAAGACGCGAGGCAAGCATCTACGAACAAATTGGCTTTGCTCAACCAAGTTATAACAGGTCTCGACCACAATGTCATCTTCATCGCCCAAAATGGTCGTGATCTTATTGGCAATCCATCTTTTCATTAGGTCGATGTTGACTTTCTCGATATCCACCTTCTTGTCAAACTCTGGCGGGAATTTGGTCGCTTTGAGGCGCTTTTGATCGATACTGAGCGCCATAGTTGTGAGTTGTAGGTAATTGTAAGAGCGACAAGGCCAGTGAGGTGTAGGGCGGATGAGATACGCGACGGTGAAAGCTAGAGCTCACTCGGGTCCATCCGCGCGGGCTTGGCAGCACTTCCAGGATTACGTCAGTCGTTCATGCAGGTACGACACATCACGCTAAGCTCTTGTCAACTAGGGCTTCAGTTCTCACTCTTCCTTTCCATTGGCGTCCAAGGATGCAAGATATAATAAATTGTCATATGAGATAACAATTCGGGACGGGAAGGAGCACACATGAAGAGCTTGAGTATGCAGTGGTTTGAGCAATGACCACACGCAGTAACAGTTTCCAGGACCTACTCGCCACGCCCATTTGAGCAGTTGCGTAGATGTCAACTGGCAATGCGACTCTCGTGCCTGCTACGTTCATCCAGTACTTCCTGCCTTCTTATAACTCACATGTCTCAGCCATGACTTCTGTTCTAATCAATCAACTAAACAAAATCCCACCACCCGAAATCCTACTTCATCCATCGTCTTCCTCCTCTTTCATACCAGTTGCCATTACCCATCGGTATTCATCTGATTACTTCTTCCAAAGGCCATTTTCTATTCCCTACACACATCTTTCACCCTGTTTTCACTTACCAAGGCAACCGTTTCGGCGGTATCAGACATGTTTGCACCAACCAAGCAGCTCGAAACCGCAACAGCCACTCTTCCCACTCAGCCACCTGCCGATACAGCAACACAAGGGGCATCCATTCCTGCTCCGACTGAGACTATCTCCCAGCTAGCACCTCAGCTCGCTCCGGAAGTGCCTCCGGCTGTGCCCCCGGCTGTGCCCCCGGCAGCACTTGAACCTGTCCCGGAAGTACCTCCAGCACCAGCCTCGAATGTTACCCAGTCAGAGCCTCTGCCAGTAGCTGAGCCAGCTTTACAAGTACCTACCATAGAACCAGTGGCGACAGAACCTGTAGCGCCTCTTCCTACAGTATCGCTTCCTGAAGCGTCACCCCCCACAGCTTCAACTCCTGAAGGTTCGACTGCTACAGCACCTGTTCCTGAGGGTTCGACCGCTACACCGCCTGTTCCTGTGTCTTCGATCCCTGTAGTACCTCTGCCAGTGGCACCACTCCCTACGGTGTCTCTTCCTGTAGCGCCACTCCCCACAGCGCCTCTACCAGTAGCATCGCTTCCTACGTCGTCTCTTCTCGTGACGTCTGTGCCAGCAGTACCTCTTCCCGAGAACCAGCCGCCCATAGCTTCACTTCCAGAGAAGACGCTCCCCACAGTGCCTCTTCCTGTGACATCGATTCCTACAGCGTCTCTGCCGGTAACATCGCTTCCTATAACTTCACTCCCTGAGGCGTCTCTACCGGTAGTGTCTCTTCCAGTAGCATCACTTCCTGAGGCATCTCTCCCAACAGTGCCTCTTTCAAGTGTACCAACGGCCCTTCCCACTGCAGGGACAGAATTACCTCTGCCGGCTCCTACTGCACCATTACCTGCCGCTGCGCCCGGGACACTAGCAAATGCAGCATCAGGATTGGCTCCGTCGGTTGCAACGACTACTAAGTGAGTGCACTTGATGCATTAGTCGCTATACATATATTAACAATGTCTAGAACTATGCGCAAACGCGACATGATCAAGCTGCTCGGACCGTTGCTTAAAGTCATACCCGGATGTATGCCTCTTCTTGTGCTGCTCGCCCAGAAGAGTGCAGCGGGTGTAGACATCAAGCCTGTTATCGAAGCTATGATATTGGCTGCGGGACCGTGAATCGAGATTGAAGATTGGTATCTGGATTTGGGCGGCGAACTTCGAGTCCACTCCTCACTTTCCCTTGTACCCTAAGTTGCACAGCAAGACTATTAGGTAGATCGGCGAATTGATCATCATTCCTATGGCTGTCCATGGTTGATGTTGCTCCATTGCTCTATCGCTCGTCTGCCCTTCTTTCCCCGTACATTGACCACTCCCTGTCACGATAACGATTCCGAAGTCGTGCCATGGACTCTATACTTCTCGAATGTTTTCTCAACATGCATGCCTAGTCATTCTTCCTCGGCAGGCAGCACTGCGGGCGGTGTCAGCCTGGGAGAAGTAGGACATCAATCCCTTGCCAAGACAAAAGTACTGAGTGGGGTATCAGTGGAATGGATGCCAGCGCATCTGACTGGTTTAGTCTCTCTTGAAACCCCACCCGCATGGCCTGCTTTCTCCACACTCATTTCTTCTCTCCTCCCACACGCATCATCCTAACATATCCCCTGTATTTCCACATACCTCCATCAACCCCCAACAGCCCTCTCCACCATAGCCCTCGCCTCTTCCAACCCCCGACTCAACTCCCCCCTCTTCTGCGCTTCCTTGACTTCAAAATGTAACTTGAGCAGATCCTTTGCGCGCTTCAGATCAGGATCCGATTCGTCTTGCTGTCGGGTGGAAGCGGTGTTTGGTTCAGCGGGAGCAGTGGCGTCTTGGATGGTAGTAGAAGGAGAGGAGTTGGGGCGTGCGGAGACGAGTGCAAGGGCGGCGGCGGGGTCCTGGGGCGCTTGGTTAGTTTGCTGGAGGACAGGATGATAAAGTGGGGGGAGGTGATACATACGCAAACTCGTAGAGAGACGAGATCGGAGAGGATCTCTGCTAGTTGCATGGTGTTTTCTTCGGGCGGGGCCTGGTCTTCTGCCATTGTGTCTTGTGTCCCCAGATGTATTCCGCCTGTATAATGACAGTTTTCTTTCTTCCAAGGCTGATATAACTGGTTTGGACAATGTTTCCCGGTGTCCAACGCAGAATTTAAAGTTTTCGTTCAACCAAAGACCTGGTACTCGAAGTTCGGATCTACAGGTGGAAATGCGTGGTATGCGACATGCAAGGAATGCATGTCCTAGGGAAGCTCTGACGTTACCAATCGCGCCTGCCCCACGTTCGGTTCACAGCTTGTGGTAGCGTGGTTTTGTCGCGGAGCACCCCCGTCAATTGCCGGGTGAGTGCTTTGCCGAAGTCGCGCAACGTCTTTCCTAGCTACTTCGTCACATCTTTTGCTTGAGCTTTCTGAATAGCCCTCTAGTTTTGACCACACTGTTCTGGAGAAGGTCATTTTGGATACCGATTGACTGTCATGGCCAGTATATCAGCTATCCGGGCAAATTGCCGCAAGGTATGTAATATATTGATACGCATGATCAGTTGAGGGAGTGTATGAGGAATTTGCAATGATCCAAGAGTTTCGACATGCGCGACTAGAGCATAAAAAGGCACCGAAAGAAATGGGGGTGGCTGTTGTTCTTACCATTGTGGGAGTCCTTATACTGGCCAACAATTGATCGTTAGAGCTAAGTAGACAAGAATCATAACTAACATTTTCAAAGGTAATGTGCATAGGCAGAAACTATGCCGATCACATCAAGGAGCTCTCGAGTGCGACTCCTAAGCAGCCTTTCTTCTTTCTCAAGCCCCCATCGTCTATACTGCTTCCTGGTGCGGGGCCTGTGCTACGACCTCGGGGTGTGATCATGCACTACGAGGTTGAGCTGGGCCTCGTCATGGGCAAGACAATCAAAGATCTCCATCCAGAGGACACTAAAGGCGCTATGGATGCCATTGAAGGTATGTTCGACGTAACATCTAACCTCTATTTGAAATATGTACATAGCCAAAATATAAGACTAATATTTCTCCCGAACAGGTTACATCCTCGCTATTGATATGACGGCGCGCAATGTACAAGACGAAGCCAAGAAGAAAGGTCTCCCCTGGTCCATCGCAAAGGGTTTTGATACTTTCATGCCTATCAGTAACTTCATCGCCAAGAACCGGATTCCAAATCCACAGAATGCTCATCTTTGGCTTACTGTCAACAACGAGATGAAGCAGTCTGACAACACCGAGCTAATGCTTTTCCAAATTCCGCGACAACTAAGCGACATTAGTAGAGTGATGACGCTGGAAAAGGGCGACATTGTTCTTACGGGTACGCCAAAGGGTGTAGGCCCCGTAAAAACTGGTGATATCATGCGTGCAGGTCTCAAAGTTGATGGAAAGGATATCGAAGAGGCCAACATGGAAGTTCCAGTCGCAGATAGAGAGGGCCTTTATGAGTTCAAGGAGACGTAGGGTAATACGTAGCCCACTCCGTAATGTCAAATGCACAAATTCCAGACGTCACAAGCACCCTGGAGGCCTCTGGAAGTATCAAGGCTTTGCATCTCTGATATAGCCCTTCCTCAACTGCGGCTGGCCATCAAGATGGCAGTGACTGACAGAGCTACACTTCTCCAAGAAGGTTATGTCTTTCGGGGCTCGCTGTTTGAGATGACAGATGCGAGTTGTCGCTGGCGGCGCAATATGGTCCTCTGTGCCTTACCGGAACGATTGCCGACTCCTCTTGAGGCTGCCCACCCCGAGAGCTCGCATGTTTCTTAGGTACTTTGAAGAATGATCGTGTTCTAGTCTCTGCTTTTCGCGGTGATCTTCGTATGCCCGCCGCTTCACTTGGTGAATGGTTTATGAGACCAGTATCGACGCGATTTTCTTTTTGTGGAGATGGTAGTTTCACTATTAGTCTTTTTGGAACTTCTGAACACGCGGCCACCGGAGTGGGAGTGGGCGTTTTCTCCTTCTTGAGTGAACCCTTCAACTTCTTCCGTGGTGAGGATATTAGCTCAATTTTAGATGTTGATTGGACCACTGGGACAGTCTTCGATCCTAGCGATGCCTGAATCCCACTTTCTCTCGCTTCCATTTTCTTCGCCGAAGAGCGCGTCAGTCGTTGTGATTGAGGCTCAGGATGAGGTTGCTTCCGCTTTCGGGGTGGCCTCCTGTCTATGAGCTGTGTGGCTGGGAGTTCGCTTGCTGGAGCTGTGTCTGTAGGAAGTGTTGCAGCATTCTGCTGTGATGCGGGGGTAGGCTTCTTGCGTTGCCGCTCCCTGGAAACAAGTTGTGTAGGTGGTGGAGAGGCATGACGCATATTGGAACATAGGTTCTCAGCAGGTACTTGCTGTAGACTCTCCTCATCTATAGGTCGTGATACTTTTGAATCATGGATTGGGTGCCTTTGCGATAGCCCCAGTCTAGCCGATGGAACAAGCCAGTCTTTGGTAGGAGATGCAGTAACGGCTGTCCAATGGCTTCTAAATCGCGGTTAGTGATATATTTGACGACTACGAGGCTCTTAGGCTAATATTCACGCTGTCTGTACCACAGGACTTTGAGGGACTTGTACTTCCTCGAGTGGGGTTGTTTGCGAAAGGATTATCGACTCGTCATTCGGTCCAGTTGTTCTGTCCCATGTCTCACAATTCAACAGCTGTGAATCTATCAACTCTGTCTCGGTGTATTTTTTTGAAGTTGTTCCCACTATTGCACAAACACTGTCAGTAGTTTCGCTTTCCCGTACAGACCTGAGACGGCCGATCTCTGCTTCCAGACTTTGGATCCGATCCGCATCCTCCTTGCGACTATGTTCAAGGAGTTCAAGACGTTGGAGGACAGTGTCTAATTCCATGGGCCTGTGTGAGAGCTTCGCCAAAGCTTCTGACATGTTCGATACCTTGTTGTCAAGCTCAATTTGCTTCTCTTTGATGTTCTTGTTGGTATCGACGAAAACACTCAGTCGTGTCATTTCGCTCGAAACCCACTTCTCGAAACCCTTGTCATTGTTTTCTGCCTCAATGGCAGCGAGTTGTTGTTCTAAGTCACGAATTTGTACTGCGGTAGCTTCTGCGGCTGCTGCAATAGCTTCAGTAGCTCGTATCCGAGCATCGTAGCCTTCATGCTGTTTCTGAAGTGCACGCATCTCTGTGAGAAGATATGCATGTTGCTTTTTCATTTCAGGTCCCCAGAGCAGTGCCTCTGCTGATGTGAAAGGCATACGTGGCGAACCTGCATCATTGGCCGTGCTGGGTCGGCGAGACGTCATGGCAAAGGCGACTACTGAAGCTTGAAGCTAATGGAAGGTCAGTTGACTTGCGGACAAGGTGGCGGAATGAAGGCAGACTTGACCGAGCGAGTTGCCTGACAGTAAATGTGGGATAGAGCTGAATGTCTTCTATTTGCTGGAAAAACTGGGCTGAGGGTAAAGTCAGGAGTGTGGTGAAGTGTAAGAGAATGAGCTGAAGCTACAAGGAAGGCGCGCCCCGTGCCGTGCCGACCTCTTTCATCCAGACACATCGCAAGCGGCTTAGTCCCGACTCCAGGACCTTCACCTGTGAGAGTACCACAGCGCCACAAATGTAGTAAAGTCTTTCTTATTTCTTGCTACCTATCAAGTGTCCTCCCACATCCAACCCAGTAGACTTAAGTAGTCCGCTTCGGTCCTTTCGGTACATCCCCCACATCATCTCTCTTCATGATGCGGATCTTGGTGTCCTTCTTACTGTCTGCATCTGATTCTGACTCCTTTGCCCGCTCTGCAACGGATTTGTCATAGCTACTCGGGTCGATACCAAGAATGCCGCCGACATTGTTACGGTCACCAGGCACAGAGAACTCACGGAAAGCATATCTCCACTCATTCAAGAAACCTCGGATCGCCTTTCCTACTTTGTCCTTGCCATTCTTTGAATGATGACCAGTTCCAGTAATGGCATAAACCGGACGGGAAGATGAGCTATGCTTCAGTAGAATACCTTCGAGGTATGATACTGATTCATCGGGATGCAAACCTAAGGGGTATGAGCAATGATTGCTATCCCTAGCTAAATGAATACGTACCATGAAGATCAACATACAGCTCTCTCGAGCTATCATTATCCTTGTTGCGGTCTTCGTATAGAATACGGGCGGCTTCCCGATGAGCCTCACGCATCAGGTTATTCTCGGTCTGTCCTCTAAGGCTAAGAGCCTTGGCCGCGCGCGAGTCACTGCGGTTCCAGGCCTGTGCAGCACTAGTACGTGTCAGTACGTTCTTACTCGTCTACTCTAACAATAACCTACCTCTGCAAAAACTTATTTCGCAGACTGCCATGTTTGAAAGCCTCGGCGCGAGCGTCAAGATATGCCTGATTACCTTTCTCACCCGTGACTAACCACGGAATGTGCTGAGGAGCGGGAATTGCCTGTGCAGCTGCACTATTCTCACGAGACCCATTGAAACTCTTGGCTGGTCGTAGACCCTTCCGTACAGGAGTTGCAGGAGCTGGCGAAGGCGACATACGGACAACATCTGCGAGGTTCGGTCCTGGAGTATCCTTGTTGCCGTGACCACCACGCTTTCCGTGGTGCCGCTTTCCAGTCTTTGTAGCTGCAGCAGAGCCCAAAGCAGGAAAAGCGTCTTTGTCGTCGACTGCGAGCACAGAGGGTGTGGCTGCACGGGAAACTTGACGACTGCCTGTCCTTGACTGCGGTCGACTGCCAGCTCCCGGCGTGAAGTTAGCATAGGGGCTAAGACCGGGTGGAGGACGCGTAGGACCTCCACTCGTGAAACCATAGAGCTGCTCCAAAGCGGTTGCTTCGGTGGTTGATATAGACGGTGTGCCTAGAGGAGAGCCATTGTAGTGAAGGGTGGGGAATTCATAGTCGGACATCTGAAAGTTGGGAAGTGGTGAGGTTGAGGCATCTGAAATCGCCATACGAGCCATGAGAGCAGAAGGGTCATGTGAGAAAAGACAGGTATCTCCAGCCAAACAATTACCGTTGAGAAAGTATCTGATCATACGTTAGATTCAAGCCGAGTTGAGACGGATACTTGATACCTACTTGCACAAAGTCTTGCTTGTGTCATGAGCAAACCGGCAATCCGCCCTAGCGCAATGACCATTGGACAAAAAGTACTTGCACACAATATTGCTCTTCTGCTGCCCAATTGGTGTAGCAGGTCTAAAGGTTGGGGCCATGGATTTTCCGATGAGATATCCAGAGTGCTCCGAAGGGGTAGCGGGGAGCTGTGATGCCTCCATCTGCTGACCCATTAATGCAAGCAGAGCAGCGCTAAGGTCGTAGCCGTTGGCCTCGAGAACCTTTTCTAGCTCCTCGTCAGGCCGATCGTCACGCAGGATTGAGCGTAACATGTCATATGGACCCATATCCATAGTTTGCGGCTGAACCCATTCGGCGGCGGCACCATTGAGCGTGCCATCGCCTACGTACGACGACTCGGTGCTTGCAATGTCCTCGTTAACTAGCCAATCCACCGAGTGTGTATCAAGATCACCATATGTTTCTGTGTTCGGGCTTGCGCATTCGCTGAATTGGTATGCGCTCAGGCTGGGGCTGTGGGGAATATGGGGTGTCGAAAAAGCAAGCCGTGGCGAGGGTCGTGGGGAAGTAAAAGGTGAGGCGGTTGAAGATTTTGTGCGCGCAAAGCCAGGGGGTCCTATTCCAAAGCCTGGAGGGGGGTGTATCATGCGTGGAGAGTTATTGACGGGAGTCGGGGCGCGGCCGGCCTGCCACGGGGCTGGAGATGGCCGGCGGATGACGGTATGGCGGCTGGGTGGAGAGCTGGATGAGCTGCCGGCATCGCGGTAACGCCATAGACAGTCGAGGACAATGTTCTCGAGAGACTTGCCAGTGAGATTGGTCTCCTTGCGCATGAGCTCCTCGAGCTTGTCCGTCTTGTCCTCTTCGTCCAAGGCATCATCCTGCAATACAGGCAGAGCCTTTTCATACAAATCGTCTGCGACCATGTTGATTAGTTGCAGACGGAGAAAAAAAGGGAATGGTAAATATGGCGGTGAGGGGGGCGCGTGGGATGGACGAGGGTAGAGAGCGAGGTCGAGACAGGAGGTCGTCGGGCTGATTAAGTACTGCGGTTATTGGCAGAGCGACCGGCGCGTTCAGAAGAGTGAAGCAGCAACGGGAAGGGCAAACAGTTTGTCCTACAGCCTTTTTTCTGCAGGACACACAGCGAGTGCGCCGAAGAGGACAGAGCCAATGTATGCCTTGGGGGCGGGCGAGCGCGAGCGCGAATGAAGCTCAAGGGACTAGGCTCAGGTCGCTCAACTACGTAGGTAGGGGTGGGGGGGAAGCCTGCACCGTGCAGCAGGTCAACCATACAGCGGGAACAGGCAATCTGCACACTGGAATCCCAGCAGTCCCTACATGGCCCTCAGAGCCTCGAGATGCATTCGGATGGGAACGGTATGAGAGGGAGAGTCTTGGCCAGATGCGGGATGGAACAGGCTGGCGACGGGTTGATGGACAATTGGAGCCTGGACACAAGGAAACGAAGCTGCTACATATGCCTCAACCCTCCATTGCTAATACGCCAAATTGAGGGGGGCGCCACACTTTGGAGGCTGAGGCTGGGCAAAATCACGTGCAGTTTCTACATACGGCATCCGCACCATGACTGGCATGCGGTGCATCACCTGCAGCAAGCCCTGCGTGTCTGCGCAAAACAAACTACGTGTGCTCTTCAAATCACGGCATCTTCGAGTCCTTGGGTAAAAGGACTCAGCCACGCTGCGGCTCCGTGGCTGCCCCGGCACATTTCATATACGCGCCTAATGCAGAGCGGATGCGGCGGTGCATCATTGTTCGTCCGCCCGGGATGACGATGAAACCAAAAGCTGTCCAGCACCAGCACTAACTTTAGCATCTTACACCAACACCCTCGATTGTTTCTGACACCCGATTACCAATCCCCGGAATGTCCCCTTTCAGTCGTCCCAACTGACAATCCCTTCCCCCATCACCTGCCATTACATCTCCCTCACCTCCGCGTACGTCCGGGTCGCTCCCTCCAGGCCACCACAACACATAAACACTGAGGCAGCTATGCCAGCGACCGACTATGATGTACGCGCCCTTGCGCTCCCGCTTGAGAATGAGGAAACGGGTGAGACGCCAATATGGAGTTGGCGACAGCAATCATCCACATTTCGGCGCAGCGCCTCGCATAGCAGCCAACAAACCACATGGCGGCAACGCGCAATGGGCAACTGGGACAAATACTCGCGGCGAGCCTTGGACCAGTACAACAAGCTTTCCCCTGTAAAGAAAATATTATTGATTATAGGGAATATACTCTTAGTAGTAGGCGGCATACTGTTCCTGGTGTTCGGTGAACGGATATTCGGCGCTCTACTGCCTATGGCGAAGAAGTGGAGGGATATCACAGCAGGCTGGCTGATACTCTGGGCCCTGATATTCGTCGTCTCCTTTCCACCCTTGATTGGATATTCCAGTCTCCTTACCATTGCCGGTTTTGTTTATGGCTTTCCAAATGGGTGAGTTCAAACCAGCAATTGACCAGGCGACCTTTAACAGTAGGCTAACTCGACACAGATGGTTCATAGCAGCAACAGCATCAGTCGCTGGCAGTACTGCATCGTTTCTCCTTTCACGCACGCTCCTTAAATCTATGGTCCACCGCCTCGTAGCAAACGACACCCGCTTCGCCGCTCTTTCCCTGACCCTCAAGCATGACGGCATCAAGCTCCTTGTCATGTACCGTCTGTGTCCACTCCCATACTCCATATCCAACGGCGCCGTCGCCACATTTCCAACCGTGCACTGGGCGTCTTATGCTCTCGCTACTGCCATTGTGTCACCCAAGTTGATGCTCCACATCTTCATCGGTGCTCAATTGGAAAAGATTGCCGAGAGCGGAGGCAAGATGGACCCGCGCACAAAGGCACTGTCCTACATATCCATCATTATCGGACTAATTGCGGGCGTAACCACTGGCTGGCTAGTCTACCGCAAGACAAAGGCCCGCGCTGCCCAGCTCGAAGCTGAGGAGCGTGCTGGCGTCCGACGTGTAAGCATCGAGGACTTGGAGAATGAATATCACGATGACCCGGGCGCGCTGGAAGCTGCCGAACGGTTACGAGAAGATGACGATGATATTAGTCTGAGGACAGCATGGGATGATGAGTATCACGATGACCCTCCTGAGACGGGTGATGCGGTGGAGATTGGTGATGATCCCTTTAAAGATGGGGATGCGAGCGAAGGCGAGGAGCGACACCAAGGAAC